GGACATATATTTTCATTGCAACACAAAATGCTGACTAAATACTTCTCTACATATTACTAATCGAACTACATTTTATTTAACAAAAGGAAAAGAGATCACTGCATGTTTTGTATATTTTCGTTACCTTTTCAAAATTGTGCATCATAATTGCCCTATTTCACTATGACGTCACTGCTTGTTTATGTGGGGGATAGAATCGCCAAATCCAATAGAAAATTCAATAAAATTTGCTCCTAGCGAAATAGTTTAATCTAAAATGGCCTGGTTTTCAGATATATTATGTGTTTATATGTACTAAAAATATTCTTAGCGTTTGCTGCCTATTCTACTTCTCTTCGTGGATTGATACGGGTTTTAGAACAATTTCCAGTAAATTTGCGTTGATTTGACCCCCTCCGACGACCATGATCCTTTGCGTTTAAACCATAGATTGCTTTGATGTGACGTCAGTGTCAAATAGGGCAATTCGCCGTCTTTTCTTAAAACTAATCTCCAAGTAGGAAATAGGCTGGAACTTGACTTCACTTGATTGACAGGTGGTTGTTCTTTCGTCTTTATCTAAATTTTATCCTCTCCTCCTCAGCAAGAGGAAAAGTTCCTTTCGCAAAAAGTCGCAAAAGGCTTTTTAGTTAAAAGAACTTTCACTTGTATTCTCCGAGAAAGACGTACCAGCGTCATGTTTGACGAGCCACAATTCCTGCTCCTCTTGACAGAGAGGTGTTAGCTCATGTCCTGCCATTGCACTAATGTCGGAATTGCCAACATTCACCTCAAGGTAGCTTGCAATTCCGGATTTTTTTGTGAGGGAGACACATGCTTTGAATTCTTTGTCGTAGTCTGCCCATTTTATATGACGTCGTCGTCTCTTTGCTCCCTGACCTCCTCTACGGCCCACCCGTATTTTCCAAATCTTTATTTTCCTCTTTTTCTTTCTTTTCTAGAAGTTCCAAAACTTTTAGGTCACAAAAATCTTGTTTTTGTGGCTCTTTTACAACGCGTCCAGGAACGTGTGGTTTTGGACGGCATTGTAGAGAGCCAGGGGAAAAAACACCCTTCCAAATATGGTATGTATTAACCAAATATGGTTTTTATTGACCTTATATGGCGGATGAAATGAGCAGGCGAGGAACGCCAATTTCAAATGGGGGAAAGTTTGATGAAAGAATAGACCAAATCTATGAACACATAGTACTTTTTCTCAATTTCAGATCAGGTGTTATTATTCCGCTTTGAGAATAAGATTCAGTTTGTTTTATCTTTATTCATATAAAATTCATGTGTATTCTGATGCGTAACAATAGTTAACTAAATACATCTAGTGGGAAAACATTGGTTTATTTCTTGCTGTTTGAAAAAAAAAAAAAAAARAATCATACAACTGATTCATGATACCAACGAATTTATCACATGGAATAGTAAATACTGCTTTCTGGACTTGAAGGAAAGGAACGCATAAGTCAAAACTATAGAATACTAAAAGCGTGAAGTATTCTAAACCTAAAATGTTATGAAAACCGAATATATTCCACCAATCACAAATCAGCTTTGAGCATAAATTACTTTGAGATGTTCACGCATGCGCGGCTATTAGTACCAATCAGTATCGGGGGAAAACATCTGTAAACAGAGCCTCTTCGGGAGAGGAATGTTCAGTCCATCAATCATCTTTTTCTAAAGAGGGTGACATGAATAACCCTTTGAATTATCTAACTTACGGCCCTATATAACTATACACAAAATTACAAATTGTAAAACTATTGCGATTAAAAGTTAATATACCAGTGTAGATAATTTACAATACAATAATACAAGATAATGCAATCTACTAAACAGCAAGAAATAAAGTTAGCATACTTACTTAAATATTGATTCTAATATTCTACAAACATACAGTCAATGTCATTAACGTTGTCCACCAAATAAAGATATTTACACAGTCACACAGTCACACAGTCACACAGTCACACAGTCACACAGTCACAC